ACGTGTCTACATATAGAGTAAAAATAGAGAGCTCAGAAGGTAGACGGTGTGGCGAGATCTTTAAGCTCAGTCTCCATCTCTTTCTCTTTCTTTCTCTTTCTTTCTCTCTCTCTCTCTCTCTCTCTCTCTCTCTCTGTCTCTCATCTATCGTAGAGAATTGTAGACGCGCAAGCAAGCAAGCAAGCAAGCAAGCAAGCTGGGTGCTTTTGTCTGAAAGCACAATGCAAGAACCGACCTCCTTCCGGGCTGGCCGTCCGTCATAGACGAACTGGTTGAAAATATAAAAAGAAGGATGAGAAGAGAAGGGAAAGGAAAAGGAGAAAGGGAAGGAAAAAAAAGAAGGATAGAGAAGGTAAAAAGGAGAGAGAGAGAAAGGGGAGAAAAAAGATAGAAAGAGAGACAGAGAGAGAAAGAAAGAGAATAGGTGTTTTTGGTCGAGCTGGACCACAACAGCAGAACAACCAACAAACAAGTACATCACCATAATAACCACCAATCAACATCGTTTAACTCGAATCATAGAATTATTTTTCGTCTACACTCAACAAATCTTAAGATTTTCTTTCTCTTAAACGTTAATACGAACTAAATACTATAATACAAATAATCTATTAAAATCTGAAGATTGTTTGTTTCTTATAATTTATATCTTTAATATGACCTAAATATTAAGATAAATAATGATTTATCATTGGTTAAACACTTTCTCTCTCTCTCTCTCTCTCTCTCTCTTTATATTAATTAGAAATATGATAAGACGATAAGATTTATGGATGAGAACGAATGTTCTTAATTCTCCAACAGATCTATTTTTTTCTTTCTCGTAGAAAACCCGCCGATGAGTAAGCGAAAGTTTATCGAAGAGAAAGAGTGGGAAAGAAGGAGAAGGAGAGAGGGAGGAAGAGAGACAGAGAGAAAGAAAAGGAGGAACAAATCGGTTCTCTAGCAAGGTGCTCCGTCATCGCTTCTAAATCTTTGGATCGGTCAAGATGGGATTACGATGATCGACGATCCCTTCCTCGCCATTAGCAAACTAATAAAGCAGCTTTGCCTTTAACAACAACGTTGGAGACAACAACGTTCGGGCTAACGCAAGAAACGAATCGATCTATCAAACTCATCGTCGTCGAGATAACTTTAGCAGCTCTTCTGGTTTTTTCACGTGAACAAAAAAAAAAAAAAAGAAAAAGAAAAAAGAAAAAAGAAAAAAAAAGAAGAAGAAGAAGAAGAAGAAGAAAAAAGAGAAAGAGGGAGAACAATAATCGACAACACTTCGACTCTTAGAGAAAGAAGATAAAAGAGGATAAAAGAAAAAGAGAGAGGGAAAAAAAAAGGAAGAAAATATGACAAGGGTCGAATTGTTTCTCAAAAAACTTTTACTAAGAAAATAATATTTTTTTTTTTCAGTAATATCTCTTTCTTTCTATTTCTTTTTTTTTTTTTTTTTTTTTTTTTTTTGGAAATATTCGATGTGTTTATACTTTGTCGACAATTTTCTTAACAAACGAAAATTGTTACTTCGACACAAAACTTCGTTCAACTTTCATTACTACGTCATATTATATACCTTTACAATATGGATTATATTATATATCACAAAGGATCTCGTTATATCTTTATTAACTTTATATTTACTAATGTTACTCCTCTATTATCGACTTGTATATATCGCGTACTAAGGATTGAAACGAAGGAACTTTAAAAATTTTATTTCGAAAGGAAAAAAGAAAAAATAACAATAGATTCATTAATTAAGTTTACGAATATTGAATCTAATCTTGAAGGAAAAATACAAACATTAATATTATCATTACGATTAGAGAATTCAATTATTTACATTTATGTATATTGATTCAATATTTTTAATAATCAACGATAAACATTTTGTAAAACAATCGATAAGTATATACGAATATTTTTATATTAAATGTTATTATGAATTAAACGTCAGGTAGACGCGTTCGTCTAGATTCATTAATATTTTATTATAAATATTGTAAATATTATAAATATTGATCGAGTGTTTTGTAAAAATATTCATTCAATAAATATATAGTTAAATAAGTAAACAAGTTCAAGACACTTCAATTTTATCGTCGTAATTTGTTGGGGGATAAATAAAAATTTTTTATATGATATCTTATAAAAAATATACGAGAATGTATTATCGAAAAGAGAGACGAAGATGGAAGATCGTATATGATACTTTCCGAAATCTGTTCTCGATCACGTGCTAACAGCTACGTTGAAAGCCGGAACGACGACGAGCTTTTTTTCCTCGTCTTCAGTTTTTCTCTTCTCGACTCGCGCCCTCTTCAAAAAGTAATTTACGGATCCAAATCGGGCAACATCCATCAGACGGGAAGAAATATATCCCGTCCTTCGATACGAACGCAGCTGACTGTTCCTTAAGCTCAACTAACGCGAACGAGAAAGAGGAAAATCACGAAACGATTCTTCTTTCTGTTTCTTCATTCGTCAAAGTTAATATGTTGGCGTGTTAGGAATTCTTATCGACTCGCTTTTTTTTCCTTCTTCTATTTTAACGTTTCTCTCGATGATTAATACCGATCAATGTAAGTTAAGATTCATTTTTTCTTTTTCTTTTTTTACGAATTCAAATAAAACGACGTACGCATGCGTTACATGTGCTTTCTATTTTATAAATAAAAAAAAAAAAAAGAAAAAAAAAACTATTGAAACAGAAAGTGTGTATCTGATAAAAAATGAAGATTAATTCTTCTTTAAACGATGTATGTACGTAAACGTTATTTGTGCTTTCTATTTAAATAAAAAAAAAAAAAAAAAAAAAAAAAAAAAAGAAGAAAAAAAGACACATCATCAACCTTTGAATTCATTCCCCAATAATTCGATATCGACTATTATTCGCCCATCTTTTTTTTCTTTTTCTTTTTTTTTTCTGTTGCCCGCCGTTTGTTAGAGAATTCGCGTCCCGTGGTTATCGAAAGTCCCGAGAGTTTTATCATTTATCGCCGCGTGGTTACGAACAAACGGGAATCTCTCTCATTTTATCTATTTTCAACCCTCTCACTATCTCTATCTCGTTCTACTTCTCTTCTCGTCCCTTTCTCTCTGTGTGTGCATCTATCTTGTTAGCAAAAGCCGAGAAACGGAACTCACTCGACCGTAGGTGGCCGATATCGAAGAGTTTCGAGTTCGCAACAATACCAGAGTTGTACCAAACGAAATACATTTTCGTTATTCATTACAGACGAAACAGGAAATACGATTGAATTAAACGAGGATATTAAATTTTATCGAGGAAATGAAAAATCAAAAGCAATCCTACGAAGAATAATCTAATGAAATAATCCAAACATTTTTGCACACTAATCGTATCATAAAAACGTCAAGATATATTGGTAAAGAAAAAAAAAAAGACAAGTATTAATATATCGACAGAGAAAGAGAGAGAGAGAGAGAGAGAGAGAGAGAGAGAGAACGGAAAGGCCATCTTATGTTAGCAGAAAACAGATTTATGAAGCATTCGTGTTTTTATCGACACTTTAGGAAGTACTATAAAAATATACTACTACACCTCTCTCTCTCTCTCTCTCTCTCTCTCTCTCTCTTTTTCTCATTCTTTCATACCATTTGACTCTTCCCGTCTCTATCACTCATACGTATGTACGTAAAACATCATACTCGATATAGTATAGACTCGGATACTGCGGTATTTACCATCCCCTCGATCGACTCTCCCTTTCTGTCTATCCAACTATCTCTCTCTCTCTCTCTCTCTCTCTCTCTCTCTCTCTCTATATATATATATATATATATATATATATATATATATATATGACACACACATGTACACACATCTCCATCTCTTTCTCTATAATGCCAGTTTAGCCTGTGGGCGATGGCTATGCGCGCGAGCTTGCATTAGAGCTTTCCCAATTTGGTGGGGTGAACGATAGAATAGGGTAAGTACAGAAGGGTAGACAAGAGGCGTTCAAACTATCGTTCGATTCCGAGGATGGCGACGGCGGGCCTCGAGGTAAAACGGGGTAAAAGGGTGAGAGCGATGGTGAGAGTGAGGGTGAGAGGGAAGAAAAAGGTGTGAGGTACACCACACGCTGGACCACAGTTGAGACTTAATCGTTTGACTAATGCAACCTAACGCTTCTTGCTAAACTGCATATTTAATGCTCTTATTTTTCTATGATAAAGCTTCCTTTTTTTTTTTTTTTTTTATTATATTAAACATTTTATCACGAATTTAAATCGTCAATTTCGAAATATTTTTCTTCTCTTAGGGAAATGTGATTTTTGAGGAAAAATAAAATTCTTTTCTTTTCTTTTTCTTCTCTTTTTTTTACGGACACTGTGACTCAAGAAAGAGAAAAAAGAGAGAGAAAGGGAGAACCACCCTATTCATTTAGCCGTTCCAGCGGAATAGGTAATTAAAATTTTTTAAGGCGATAATATGTAAGATCTTTACCCCGTGTAAGCTTGCAAACCGAATGGTGTGTTGGTAACATTAAATATTTGGTCGTTCTGTAAAGGTACTGAAGGTTTTAAGTGAGGCTTAACGATGTTAGTCCCTGTCTGGAAGGTTCATAACGATCAGCATCAAATTACGGTATCCCTCTCGGTTCTGGTGAGTACTTAACTCACCTCGAGCTACCCAAAAGTACGACGTTTTTATCACTTTAATGGTGAGACACTTGATTAACGAGAGACGAGCCCGTTACCGAAGTGTCTTGCGGCTTCGCCTTGACGTTAAGCTAATCGTTTAAAAAGAAGACCTCTGATAAAACTTCATCATAGCCACTTGCTTTACAAAAGAAGATTATGATGACTCGTCTCATTTTTTTTCTGATCTTCTCTCTCTCTCTCTCTCTCTCTCGCTCTTTTTCTTTTTTTTTGTCTTTCCTTAAAGGAGATTAATCCGAATTTAGTCTAAACCTAAATTCTTTGGCATTAAAAATATCGCCTTACATATATAACTTCTATATAATAAAAAGATGACTCACCAAATAGAGCAGATGGTTCGACGTCGCGTACCGATAAACTCGAAGAAGCTTGTGATGCACTAGATTCGGTGCTTTGAGTGCACCTAAGTCTCCTTCTAAGTTTTGGCATGTCAAAGGGCAAATCTCTCAAATCGACACTTGTCGCGCTACCAGATGTTGTTGCATCCTGTTGCATGAGCAATCTTCTTCTACGAAGTTTTGGCATGTCAAACGGCAAATCGGATAATTCCGGCTCATTATCGACTATATTGATGTTATCCAATTGGGGTTTTACCAGGTGAAAACCAAAGGGCTTGCACTTGATACCGGCTCGAGACTCGATAGAAATACCACTGTCGGAGCCTTGTATTTCTGCATCTCCGGAAGACGACGATTGGAGAGCTAAATTAATCAGATTCTTGTTTTGAGGAGTTCGTCTCTTTTTAAAGGACGTGTCCATGGGAGACGTGACGGAATTTGTATTTGTGTTGGCTGCATTGGTATTTGTATTCGTATTAGTGTTGGTATTGTTGGTAAGCATAACGTTATTTTCAGTGGTAATGTTTTCCTCGGGCGATGCCTTTTGAGAATTATTATTACGATTGTTGTCCGAGGTCTCAGAGGCTGGTTCCTGTGAGGACTTATCAGAAATAGGCGAAAGTATATGAAGTTTATTGGCATGATGCGTCAGGAAGCCCGTTAAAGATGGCTGTTGATGATGATGATGATGATGATAACAATTTGTACCACCGCTGTCGGAGCTATGAGAACTTAGACTGGTACTGTGACGACTTTCTGAGCTGCTCGTAGATCGATTACCTTCGCTGGTGCTGCTTCTCAAAGACTCCATACTACCGCCGCTACTACTAGTTGCCATACTTTCGGTACTGGAATATCCAGCTCTGCGCCTGCTGTTACGTAATTTGAATTCCAAAAGGCCAGCCTCCCTTCTTGGACGTGCAAGGTCACTCTCAGCTTCGTGAGGCCTACCCTTGAACTCCATGATGGGTTTGCTCTCGCGTATCAAACTTCTTGGACGTTGTCTCTCGTCTCTTGGCCTGCTCTTGAACTCAAGAATAAGTTCCTTGTCGAAACGGCGGCCTTGAGATGACTCGACGTTTTCCTGAACGAAGTTCTTAGGTCGGCTTTTGATCTCTAAAATGCTGCCCTCGCTACTTTGAGGAGAATCCTTGGCACGTAATGTAGACTTCACGGGTAGTCTCATGTCCTTCAAACGTGGATGATCCGGTTGGGATGGCAAATTTGGTGCGCTGCGTATGTTCAGCAATAGGTGATCGCGATTCCCATGAAATTTCGCGGGTAAGGGTGCCGTTGATGGCGGCGAGGGTGTGTAACCTCTCGCAGGAAGTCTCGGCGAGCCAGTTTTTTCATCGCTCGAGTTTATCTGGAGGGATTCGATATCCTGGGACAGAGTCGAAATATTGTCTGATTGTTGTTGTTGTTGTTGTTGATGCTGCTGCTGCTGTTGTTGTTGTTGCTGTTGTTGCTGAAGACGGCTCGGAATTGGTTTTGGGCGGAGAAGTACGACTTTGCGTCGATGGTCTTTGCTCGAATGCGGTTGACCAGCGTAAGGAATTTGTTGTTGCTGTTGTTGTTGCTGCTGTTGCTGTTGTTGTTGCAGCTGTTGTTGTTGTTGCTGTTGTTGTTGTTGCTGTTTCGACGTATCGGTCGACGAACTCGTTCGACTCACAGCTAAAGCGCTACTGCTTCTTATCTGATTTATTAAATAGAAAAAAAAAAAATAGAAAAAAGAGGAAAAAACTTGTTCGCTGCTATCGAATAAAGTGATATGTGTATATATATATATATATATATATATATATATATATATATATATATTAAATCATGTACAACTTACTTGGGAATGCAGTACCGGATGATTGGTAACTCGATCGAGATCGTCTAAGTCGTCGTCAGAACGATTGACCTTGCAATCGAAGGCTGTCTCATAGAGATGACGTTGCCTCGCCATCTCTTCCTCGTCTTCCTCCAAACCAGCCACCACCACCACCTCCTCCTCCTCCTCCTCCTCCTCCTCCTCCTCCTCCTCCTCCTCGTCCTCCCCCTCCACGTCGTCCTCGTCCTCCACCAGAATCGGCTGTGGATCTATTCTTCTGGCACGTCGTAATTTCCGCGGTGCTGTCTGATGATGATGATGATGGTGATAGTGGTGATGATGATGATGAAGAAGTTGCTGCTGCTGTTGCTGCTGCTGCTGCTGTTGCGTTTGCTGTTGTTGCCGCGTAGTCTGCGGCTGTCGTCGATCTAGCTCATCCTCTTCTTCCTCGGCTGATGCGACGCACGTACAAACGGTACTCGGAAGATCATGGCTCAGCAGCCTAGGCGGAGGCATGAGTGTGTGAACCCACTCCGTGATGATGCACGATGAGAGGATCTCGCTGTTTCTATCTGGGACAGCATGCTCGCTCCCCGATGTGGGGCTCACTAGATCTTGATTCTGATAATTCTGTTGCTGTTGCTGTTGGGGATGCTGTTGCTGTTGTCCTTTTTGCTGTAGTCCCCCCTGTTGCTGTTGATAATGCTGTTGCTGTTGCTGTTGCTGTTGCTGTTGCTGTTGCTGCTGATATTGATGCTGTTGTTGATGAGGCGAATAGGGACCCCCATCACCCGCCAGAGAATTTCTCTTCGGTATACCGGGTGTTCTCGAACGTTCCTCAGGCACGTCGAGGCTCACACTCTTTCTATATTTACTCGGTTGTGATCTTATCGGCTGTTCCGGTACTTTGAAGAGATCACCGTAATAATACGGCGACGGATGACGAGCAGGTTGATTTGAATCCGTAGAGGATTGATCAGCGAGATGTACTAATGCAACGCAATCAACGAGTACACCATCGGTAGATAGTGGCCTGTCGCTTTCTACTGAAGCAGCTCGTAACGAGCTCGACGCGTGCAAACTGTTCTTACGTTTTCTAGCACCAGTGAAACGTTCCTCGGCGATTTCATCCTCGCAAGACGATCCAGAAGCCGATGGATCTGAAAGAAAAAAAGAAAAGAAAAGAGAGAAATAAAAAGGAAAGATGAAAGCTGACAGAAAAAAACAAGCTTGCAATCAAATGATCCCGATAATTCGAGCAACGAGACGTTCATAATTGAGCGTTTGCCTCGAGAAGAGGACTTCTGCTCGATAACAAGAAAATGGCTATCGTCCATCGTGATGGGACAAAAAACGGGGGAGAGGGAAGTTCGAAATTTAAATAGGAGGGTACGTATATATAACGAGGGTAAAAAAAAAAAAGAGGAAAAGGAAAAAAAAACAGAAGAAAAGCTCTCGTAGTAGCAGACAAGCAAGGTAAAATGGTACACGAGATTTTCATAATCGTTTCATCGTGACTCGTGATAGCCAGCAAGAGAGAGAGAGAGAGAGAAAGAGAGAGAGAGAAAGAGAGAGTGAGAGGACACTTAGGAAAAACGAAATTGCCGTGAAACGATGGGTCCTCTTCTCCTTAAAAATCACTTCCTTCTACGATGGGATATTACGGGTAATGGTTTCTGGCCTCTTCCACTTTCTCCCTCGTTCGTTCGTTCGTTCGTTCGTTCATTCTTTCTTTCTTTCTTTTTTTTTTTTTTTCTTTTTTTTTTTCTACGTGTATCGTACTCAACGCTCCGTCGGCTGTTTTCCTTCCTTTCTTTGCCATAACTTAATTCCAATGACACTCAGTTTGCGATCACGTCACCAACATCCACGCGAATACATGTACACACGTAGAACGAAACACCCTCTCAACAGACGGTGAGAAATAGATCGCTTTAGGAGGAGCCGCAAAATTGCATGGACACCCGGTACACATTATACCTTTGGCATACTATATACCAAGCCAGTAGTGATAGGTGAAAGGAGTGGAGATAATGGGCGCATTATGCTCGAACGGAGGGATACCCGTTAGAATCCTTCTTGCGAGGAGTCTGGAGAGAGTAGTCGCGGTGACGCTATAAACCATAACCTGCCTCTGACAGAATACGCCATTGCAGATATATATATATTAGTGTATATGTATGTGTGTCTATGTGTATATATATATATATATATATATAATGGAAAACTTTATCCCATTGAAATAAAGGGGATCAAAATTATTATCTTATCGAGTGCTCTGGTATTATAAACCGAACAAATTTACTGATAATATTTAACCAATAAATAACGACAGATAAAACTCTTCCTTTAAAGATTTCTCATATAATACTCGTTAAATAATTATCAAAAAAAAAAAAAAAAAAAAAAGAAAAACAAACAAACACATTGATTATCTCCTTTAACATTATCATTCGTTTCTATTATTCCTCTGTTTATACGGAGATAAGAGTCTCGAATTATTATGTACCAAACGGATATCAGGATTTAATACGTAAAATTTTATATATATTGTTCTCATTGTTCCTTTTGTTGTTGTTGTTGTTGTTGTTTATAAATCGTTCGAATAAACAGAGAAGAATCGTAGGTATTTATTTGGATACTTTAACGATCCCATGAGTTCTAACACCGACACGTTCTTAAACTACAGGACTACAATGAAATCACGAAATGCGGAATGAGAAATTAATATCTATGTTGAATGAATAAACTCGCGAATTTATTACACGAGACTCGTTTCTCTTTTAACGAATAACGAACATCAACGTCGTTTTAATCACATTTTCATTCTCTTTCCCTCCCTCTCTCTTTTTCTCTCTCTCTCTCTCTGTCTCTCTCTCTCTTTTTTGATACTCGTCCAAGTTTCTTCCACCTCTTTAACGTTCCTTTTTCTCATTTATTCTCACGAACTTACAGAGTTCCTCATCGCAAATGATAAAGAAGGATATGATCTATACTATGAGGATGGTATTAGTAGTGGTAATGATAGTTGTGCTAGTCATGTTGATGATGGGCCTTTGTCTTATCCATTCAGTTTGTTTTTTCTTTTTTTTCTCTCTCTCTCTCTCTCTCTCTCTTTTTCTTTTTTCCTCGAGACGTAGAAACTTGGCACACAAAACTGACAGCAAGGCAGAATTTTTTGATATATTTACAAAAAATATCTCTGGGCGTTTCCCCTTCAATTTTCTCTATGTTCACTTTCAACTTCATTTCGATATATCATTTAATATTTCAAAAGTTTCTAATATATATATATATATATATATATATATATATATATATATATATATATACATACATAAATTGATTTTCATTCAATAGAGTTTCACGTTTATTCGACTTGGATACATTTTATAACGAGAATTATGGAATATGAGAAATATGGAAAAAGAAAGGGGAAAGGAAAAAAAGAAAACAAAAAAAGAAATTCTTTAACCTTTCTCAATGAAATCGATTTGACCTAAGGTTTCGAAGTCCAATATCCTCAAGACGATCGTAATATCGGTTTTTTTTTCAGCGAAGGTTGAACTTCAATATCAAGCGGAATTTTCTATCGATGGCGAAGAGGTTTAAACGATCGTAAACGAATGAAAAATCAAAAGTAAATGAGAATCCGAGAAATCATGAATATGCATCAACAGCTGTTCCCTTTTGCTTTCGTACGAACGAACGAACGCGAAATCGTAAGAAAAAGATTATTCTACCATTGAAAATATAAATATAAATATCGTTTTAGGAAATAAATTTTTCATTAAGTAATCCAATTCTTTCAATAAAACGAAACGATCATTGAAATAATTTAATTGTAAATTATATTCAAATATATATATATATATATTTTTTTTTTGTATATGTATATATATATATATATCTCGTGTATTTACGAAAACATTCACGACTTAAAATATATGACTTAAAATATATATAAATATGGAATAAAAGAGTACATTCTATTCTTCTCTTTTCTCACGTAGCTTTCTGGTTAACACAGCACGAACGATAAAAGAAGACTGCCAAACACGCAAGTACGCTTGACCTGTTCGAAGAGTTGTTGTCGTTCCGACCTATACGCCAGAAAGAGAGAGACAGAGAGACAAAGAGAGAGAGAGAGAGAAAGACAATAAGAATAGGAAAGAGAATCATAACACGAACGTATTCAAGTGAAAACAAAAACAGACTGATCGAATCGTCATATATACATGACCCTGTAATCACAAATATATTATTTGTGATTACAAAATGATAGATTCCATAAAATCCACCAAGAGATCTTTATCGATCGGTCTGTTTAGAAAAATCGAAGAAATAACAAAAAAAAAATAAAAAAAAAAAAAAAAAAAATAAAAAAAAAAAATAAGGAAACAGTGTATACTTAAATAAAATCGATGACACATGATGCACACCCACACATACATGCATGCTGGTTCATAGACCACATACTGCGTCCTGGCGTACCGCCAAATTGCAAGGATATTGATTACCGATCAATAATCAGATTTACGAGACATCCACTGGGTCGTTGGATATTTCACGGAATAAGGATAGAAACGTTCTATTAAATGAGAGAGAGAGAGAGAGAGAGAGAGAGAGAGAGAGAGGGAGGGAGCGATAGATAGATCGAGATAGCGATAGAATGCATCGTGCAACGAAGATAACGACTAACAGAGAGAAGGATAGTACGATACTGGTTCGGGATGTTGGATGCAACTCTAGGGACGAGGGATGGCATCCCTAATGAATCTATTAGGGAGCCTGAGCGACAACCCTCTGCCGTCCAGCAATCACTACGGACAACACGAAACGATGCAAGCTCGATGCAGCCGTGATGTCTGTATATGTGTGTAGAGAAAGAGAGAAAGAGAAGAACAAAGAGAGAGAGAGAGAGAGAATAACCCTACTGCTTATCGGATAGTTCTGTGAACGAATCCATAGAGGGATGATTTTCTAAGTGACAGCTACTTAGATTCAGCACGAATTCATAATCGTGAATATGTACGAGAGATTAATCAACGCAATTGCCCAATTAATATCTCACGAATTTCTATACAAACAATAAAATTTATTCTTCCAATTATTTTTAAATTGTTAAGATTTTTCGATTCAGAAATAACATTTCTAAAATTAACTTCGTTAAGTTTCAACTTGCAATTGTACTTGATGAAGTTTCTCAAGGCCAGTGCTTTCAAAGAGTGGTACAAAAAAAAGAAAGAAAAAGAGAGAGAGAGAGAGAGAGAGAGAGAGAGAGAAGGAGAGGAAGAGAGAGATGCAGTTGTAATTACCAGCTCGGTCTTTTAGTTTCAACGAGAACAGTCTGAGAGTATTATTATTACGTAGTATTATTATCGATGCCAGATTAAACAACATTATTCTCTACCCTTCCAAGCGGATCGTGCCAAGCGAGAAATCTCTTGCCAAGTGTTGTAATTTATAAAAAGAAAGAAAAACAGATGAAGAAAAATGAAGAGAGATAGAAAGGATAAGTAATCAGAAAAACGTAGCTATGAAGTAAGTAATATCTAAGTTCGATCGAGAGCACATTTCAATATTACAGAAATAATGTCAGATTGAAAAATTTAATCCGAAATTGAACATTTTTTTTTCCTCCCGCGTAGCGACACATCCAAATCTCTCTTATTATCGTATTATCTATAAAGAGGAAAATGCAAAATAAAAAAATTTTTGCCATCTTCGATGGTCGAAAGAACGAAATGGTGACATAGCGTTTCTTAGATTTCATGTCTCAATTTAATATTTAATTCATAATATAATACAGAAAGACAACGACTATAGAAATAACCCATGGCAAGTCTTTATATATATATATATATATATATATATATATATATAAAAGATAACGAGAGAAGAAAAAGGCTCGAGATGATTTTGGGGTTGTACTTGGCTATCGGCTACTTCACTTTGCTATTTTTTTTCTTCTTCTTTTTATTAGATATTGTCCTCATAACATAACCGACGAATATGACAGAAGAAACCAAGAAAAGCGCACGGATACGAGACGCGTTTGGAGAAGTAGGAGGGGACATCGTTTTGGGGTCGATTCTTGTATCGTGCTATGGTGGCAAAAAAGAAAAAGGAAAAGGAAAAAAAAAAGAAAAAGCAAAAG